TTAATGTGATGACAAAAATATAAATATTCAGTAAAATAAAAATATATTAGCATTCAGTAAACTTTGAACTTCCATGACAGCAAATCATTACCAGTATACACTAAGGATTAAAATAGTTAATAAAAGCAAAAGTGCATAGTCTTGGCAACTTTTCACCAACAAATTTTCAGAAACTAGAAATTCAATGTGTTTACATTACAGTACAGTTATTCAAACTTATGACCTTGATGGTTTTGATACATCTTGAGTTAACACAAACACTGCTAGTAAGTTAAAATGTGTTTTGAGTTAAAATATAAAGATGCACAAAATGTATTTGTGAAAGTCATATGTAAAATTATGCAGTAAAAATATATATTTTTTATGGAAAATTTCCTTGATCCTTTATGACTTTTTAACACTTGGGGGGAAAACTTTTATTTCCCCCTTAGGTATAACAATGTGGCATCAAAATATAAATGTGAAAATTCTGATTGTTTGAAAATATAATAAATATATTTAATAAACTGACTATGTGTAATTAATTAAAAAATTTAAAGAATGAATAAATATAACCAGATCTTTATTGAACAGTATTTACTCCAAAAAATAATTTATACATTTTACAACTACAATTTTCATATTAACAAGTACAAATCAAGAAAGCTCTTTATAATTACATTTTAAATGAATATTATCACAGACATTAATGAATGTAATGAATATATATAAAACAAATGCTATAATTACCACATGAGGAGGAAAATATTATTCAGGTAATGCTGAAAAATAATTTCCATTAATCACAGATAGATTCAAGGCTATCACTTTGTATTAGCTAACATTATTAAAATGACTATAATGCATAGCTGCCAACCTTGAAATATTACAAACCAGGAGTTTCCGGAGAGTTTTCTTACAGGATGACACACCACCATTCTAACTGACTTTAAATTTGCTTTATAATTCATGACTCAGGTTACTGAACTATTTATAATGATTCTAATATAAAATATATTAACATTCAATAAAATATTCCTCATTTTATGTTCTTTGGCTTATTTCATTTTCTAATTTTCTTTCACTTTTACAGCGAGAAAATCTAGAGTAAGAAAGAAAAACAAACTACTTTCAAATGTAATGAAAATAAAATTAATAATTAATGCAGATACTATTATGTGGATAAACTCAGTAATGTACCACACAGTCTCAAATTACATGTGGGCTAAATGCACAATCTGGTAAAACTGATATCAAAACAAAACTTATAGAGTAATAAATTGCAATTATTAACATGCATAACATTTATATTACACTCATTCTACAATAATTTTTACTTTTTTACTGTTATTCTCAGGGAGTTGGCCAGCTATCTATAATACAATACAATCTGAGGTCCATGAGTTGAAAGATTTTTTAAAAGCCTTTTACACAAAAGTGAGGCAGCTCAAATACAAATTTTAGAATAGTTATGGTATCATTGTTTATATATATGTGTGTGCATACATGTGTAAGATAAAAATATGAAAGTGTCCCCTTTCTGTCCTAAGAATAGTAACTATTTATAGTACATCATTTCAAAATTAATCTGCATCATGCTAGATCAAAATTGTTGTGTTTTACTCGAATAACTTCCTAAACTGGAACCACAGATCTACAATCAAACATGTAAAGAGTATTTAGCCACATAATCTTTTCAAAACTTCCTGTATGGTATGTTTCAAAGTAGAAACCTTAAAAATGAAATTCCAAAAATTTACAAAACTATATTACTTGGAGAGAAATTCTGTATGCACAATCTCTTCTTTCACCATGTATTAACAATATTTAAAATTTTATATATTATTTACATGGAGTTACAGAGGCCTATTTTTGGGGTGGGAGAAAAATAAAAAAAAAAAAATTCTGTATAAATTTATGGTAACTGCTTCTGCAGTTTCCTATATTTATAAAAGGCTTCACGATAATATTCTATTTCTAGAAAGTGGAGGAGACTTTTACCCACTATTCACATTCTTGTTGATAGTTTTAAAGCAGAAGCCTTTAAAATGAAATGCCAAGAAATAACAGAACTAGAGTACTTGGAGAGAAATTTTGTTTAAAATAGCATTCCAAGTTAAATTCAATAATAATTAGCAGTTAGTATTAATGCAATATATACTGCAAAACTAAATATAAAACTTGACTCAAAATGCATCAAATATCCCTTTATGTTAAAGTGCCACAGCTGGTCAACTAATAGCTTACATTGACATTTGAAATTAAAGTATTCAGTAGAGCTAGCAAGAATAAAACTCCAGATGCAATGATAAGTTAAGTTGTTAGTATATAGCTGAATTAAATACACGTGTAATCAGAAATTAAAGCAATCTACAAGTCACTTGACACAGAAGAATGAATGCACACAAGTTAGAACGAGTGATACAGAGCAAGATAAAATTTACACTGCCTTTTTCTAAAGATTGCAGTATTTAGCCTTTACTCTGAAACAAAGTTCTAAAGTTATTTGAGGTACATGTGGAGCTTCTAACATTATGTTTTAGTGAGTTTATTAAAACATAAAAGCAAACAGAACAGACAGATTGTCAAAGCAGACTGAACATCTTCTATAATTGGTTTACTTTTTACAAACTTCAGCATTACAGATAATGATGCATTGTGTTTTTAAGGAAGTATTACTAAACTATGTAGAAAAATTCCTTTGATTATAAAGGTTGCAATTGCAAATGACATGCTTAATTTTATCATAGAAAGTTAATTTTTTAATATTTTTTTACAGACTTTATTTTAGCCTATTTCAGTAAAAGGTCTGATTTTTATTTTAATAAAACATAATTTATACTATTGTCAAAACTACAGGAATTAGGAAAAAATTTCTGCGAAATTTGCATGAAATACTGAAGGTGGGTGCATATTTGAAAAGGCTAGGTTTATACATCCTGATAATTTTAAAGTTAGCTCAATGATTCCCCTACACTGCATTATATTTAAAAACTGAAATGAAGTTTGAATTGTTAATCTGCAAATGAAAGCATAAACTACACCAAGAAACATGCATATTTTTTTATTAGGGAACATCATAATGTTTATTATGCTTAGATGCTTGCAATCTGCCAATTTCACCATAAAAATGCATTAAAGCATGCACTACCTACTTATTCCATATATAAGGTTGTTCAATAAGTTCGCGGAGTGCCATCTATTCGTCAATATTAGACCTAAAACTTCGATGCCATTTTCATATTTGTTCTTTCTTAGGAACACGTTAAAAGTTTCATTTCGATCTGTTAATTTATTCATTGTTTAACCGCCCTTTATATCTAACGCATTGTGCCTTTTTTCAGGTATGGATAAAATTGAGCAACGTACAGTATCAAATTCTTTGTAAAGAAAGGTTTAAAGGCAACGGAAATTCATACCGAAATGGTGAATGTGTTGGGTGAATCTGCTCCTTCAAAAACAATGGTTTGCAAGTGGGCTAGCTTATTCAAAAGTGGTCGTACCAGCCTTGAAGACGATCCGCGAGAGGGACGTCCAAAAACTACATCAACACCAGAAATCATCGGAAAAATATAAGATATGGTATTGGAAGACCGTTGATTGACTGAAAGAGATTTAACAGAGGCTTTAGGCATTTCATTGGGCACAGTCAGCAATATTTTGAGTGTTAATTTGGGTTTCAAAAAACTCTGTGCAAAATGGGTGCCGCGTTCTCTAACGATGGAGCAAAAACACATTCAGATGCGACTTTGCCAGCAACATTTAGAGCGTTTTAAGAAGAATAAAAGCAACTTTATCCGTTGGTTTATCACAATGGATGAGACTTGGGTCTACCATCATGATCCTGAATCAAAACAGGAGGCTACGGAGTGGTGTGAACCCTGTTAACAATGCCTTACTTATTTTGTTAGTATAATTTAGCTACTTGTGTATGGCAACAGTAGGAGATATTCAAGTTTGAGAACGATGTAACGAAGCGAGGAGAGTCATTGTTTCTTTCGTGATAATAAAGTTTGTTTTCGTTGAAACTGATTCTATTGTGTAAATAATCACCGCAGTTATAGTGTTTTAATAATAGAGACTATCTTTAAATCTATGATGTGAGTCTTTAATTAAAGGCTACTTTGCTGAAGTGTGATTTACGATTATAAATACTGAAAGCAGAAAAAGTCGGTGATACTTTTTTCTAGTAAGCTTTAACATTTCTGGCGTCCAGTTACAGGACTATTTACGTATTTAAAGATGTTTTAAGTGATAAAAGGTTTTAAAAAAGAAGATTTGAAACAAGTTGTGGAAGAAATCGGTGAATGTTTACCAATAACCGTTACAATAGCAGGTTTAAAAGAAATTATTTTAAACAGTGCAGAATATAAAAAGGATCCTGAATTTGTTCAAGATTACTTGCAACTGCTATTTCGGATCGAAAATTGATAGAGCAAAGACAAATTTAAAAGGATAAGCTGGATTATGAGCTTCAAAAATTGAGAATAGAGCAAGAACTTCAAAAAAACAAAAATGGATTATGACCTGGAGTTGGCAAGAATCCAAGCACAGAATCAAAGTGAGTCATTTCCGTCTATTTCTGTTTCTGATGTAAATAGTTCGAAACGAAAGTTTACTTTGCCTAGATTAGAAGTTAGTCAATTTGGAGATGATATTAAAGAATGGCTTCCTTTCTGGAGCCAATTTGAACAAATTCATAAAGATAATGATATTGCCCCTGAGGATAAATTCCAGTATTTAATTCAAGCTACTGTGTCGGGTTCCCGCGCTAGCTGTCAAGAGTTTTCCGCCTATCGGTGCTAATTATGAAAAGGTGGTGGAAAGCTTAAAATCCCGTTTTTGGTAGGGAAGATATTTTAGTCGAAGTATACGTAAGAGAATTATTGAAATTAATCGTAACTGTTCAAACTTAGGAAAAGTTTTCATTAACTTTTTTGTACGATAAACTTGAATCTTATTTACGTGCTTTGGAAACATAAGCTGTGACAACTGATAAATGTGCTTCTATATTATATCCAATGGTTGAGTCCTGCTTTCCAGCAGATTTTTTAAAAGCGTGGAATCGTAGTAATTCTTCCGATTCTAAAACGGAAGCGAAGGATCGATTAAACAATTTAATGCAGTTTTTGAGGTCTGAAATAAAGGGAGAGGAAGGAATATGCTTAACTGCAGCTGGTTTCGGTTTGGGGAAGCATCAAGATAATAATAATAAGCCAGTAAAAAAGAAACATTCTAGTGCAGAATGTTTACGTAACAAGACACCGACAGCTGCAGCGCTGTTAACAGCTGAATCTGTTTCCAAGGCTAAGAAATCGTGTGTTTTTTGTGATGGTAAACATTTGAGTTCTGACTGTTTTTCCGCACAAAAAATGAGTTTATTGGAGAAGCAAAAAATTTTAAAAGATAAGCTTTGCTGCTATGCTTGTTTATCATCTGGCCACACAGTCAAGAAATGTCGAGTTTTCTTAAAGTGCTTGATTTGCTCTAAAAAACATGTGCCTCTTATGTGTGATGTGCTTGATACACAAATCAAAGCTGTACAGCCGAAAAATGAAGAAAAACCGATAGAGGGCGAAATTAACTTGTCTAATTTCAAAAGACATACCCCCAGAGTTTTTCTTCAAACTTTGAAAGCGAACCTTATTTCTGCCGGTACACAGAAGACTGTAAGATTACTTTTAGATTCAGCTTTGCATAAATCATACATTTTAAAGACTGTAGCCGAAGAAATGAAATATTTGCCAGTTCGTCAGGAAAGTATGGTACATTCTCATTTCGGGGGTGTTTTGACAAATGAGTTGAAGCATAATTGCTATAAAATAAAATTGAGAAGTTTGAATGAAAAGTTTACGTGCAATTTCGAAGTCCTAGATCAAGCTACAATTTGTGACAATGTTCGGCCTGTGATTAAAGAACTAGAAGAAAATGGCATAATTTTAACAGATGTCGTGGTTAATTGCGAAACCATTCATGTTCTCGTCGGAGCCGACATAATGGGAAGGTTGTTAACCGGAAATAGGAAAATTTTGTCTTCGGGTCTCGTTGCTGTAGAAACTAGTTTACGATGGACATTAATGGGTAAGGTGCCAGTAGAAGAAGCTCCTAATGAAAACTTAGCAAAGGCGGTGACATCAATGTTTATAAATGAAGCTGAAGTTTCAAGTCTATGGAGATTGGATTTAATAGGGATTAATGATCCTGTAGAAAAGAAATCTAAACATGAGATTGATCTTCAGACCAAAGAACATTTTTTAGAAACCGTTACAGTAAATAATGATGGTCGGTATGAAATTTGCTTACCTTGGGCTGATGATAAATCACCTTTACCTGATAATTTTAGTTTAGCTAAAAAGAGGCTCGAGTACACTACTTCGAAACTTTTAGCTATGAATTTGTATCAACAATATGAAAATGTATTTTTAAGTTGGATTGATGAAGGCATCATAGAAATTGTGCCCACTTCTGAAGTGAACTCTTATGGTAATTACTTACCTCATCGCCCTGTCCTGAAGGCAAGCAGCAGTACCACACCTATTCGTCCAGTGTTTGATGCTTCAGCGAGGTTGACAAACCATCCTTCTCTAAACCAATGCTTGCAGTGCGGTCCTAATTTAATCGAACTTATTCCAGACGTCCTACTGCGATTCAGAGAGCGGCGATATGGAGTCATAGCGGACATTAGAAAAGCCTTTCTACAAGATAAGTATTCGAAAAGAGGATAGAGACTTCCTGCGATTTTTATGGTGGGAAAACATGGAAGAGGGAAAGCTCAGAGTTTTTCGACATGCCAGACTTGTTTTTCGGTGCAAAATGTAGCCCTTTTTCCTTCTGGCTTCAGTTATTGAGCACCACATTGAAAACAAAACAGTGAAGATTTTGAAGTTGCTTTTAAAAAGAGAAATTGTTGCAAAGACTGTTCTATGTTCTGTGTCGACAATGTCGTTACTAGTGGTGACACTAAACAACAGTTGGAAAAGTTTGTTACCGATTCTAAAGTATTGATGTCCAAAGGCAGTTTTGACCTAAGAGGATGGGAATATTCTGGCGAGTTCGACGGAATCAACGATAAGAAAGAAACACAGGTATTAGGTCTGCTTTGGAATAAAGAACTGGACACTCTGAAAATCCATATGGGATGGTTGAATGGCTTTAATTTGGAAAAGATAACAAAACGAAGCATGTTATCTGCCATTCATAAGGTATTCGATCCTTTTGGTTTTTTCTCCCCCGTTATGCTCTGTCCAAAAATAATGTTACAAAAGGCATGGAAGAAAAGTGTCAGTTGGGACGAAGAGTTGACTGGCGAACTTCCTAAAGATTTCTTACAATGGCTTGAAGAATTAAAATGCTTAAGTGAGATTGAAATTCCCAGATTTATTCAAGTCACTTTCGAAAATTTCAGTAGTTGTGCCCTTCACACTTTTGTTGATGGCAGTAAAGACGCTTATGCAGCGGTTACATTTCTAAGGATTGAGAACAACGATCGAGTTGAATTGTTTCTTCTTGCTGCAAAATCTCGAGTTGCTCCTTTAAGAGGGGCCACTATCCCAAGAATGGAGCTTTTGGCAGCCGTAATTGGTGCCGATTGACAGATTCAGTAACCAAAGCCCTTGGACGGGAAAGAATTAACAAATATTACTGGAGTGATTCCACAACAGTGCTCACATGGATTAAAAGAGATGAAAACTGGTGTGTTTTCGTGCGAAACCGTGTTAAGGAGATCAGAGAACTCAGTAAACCTTCAGCTTGGAAGCACGTTCCTGGAGAAAGAAATCCTGCTGATCTGCTATCCAGAGGTTGCAAGACGAAATATCTAATTACATCAAGATGGTGGGAGGGACCACACTGGATGAAAGATCTCACCGAATTCCTTAATTACGTGGATTCCTGTAACCATCATAGCTAAGTGGCGACCGACGCTCGTAGCTGTGTAGACTGCAGTTTCACGTGCTCCCGCTTGTATTGTTGTAAGTGTCGTTTAAAAACAAAAGTCGATTTCAATTGTATAGCACAAGTTTCAGCAACATACCGCGAACACAGTGCTGCAAAGATTTAGTTCCTATGACCATTATTTCAGCAAATACTTAGTTTTTATTATTCTCGTGAAACGCAGCCGATATTCCTTTGTTTGTGAAAGTGGTTAAGCGAAGTGCCAAGGATCAAAAGTTATTTATAAAACTCTTCCTGTGTAATAGTGCTGCCGTCTATAAAATTAATTGAACTTTTTGATTAATTCACATTCCCAGGATACCTATGGATGCCATTTGATGTTTTTATTATTTCAAGCAATTAAGGAAGTACAGCTCATTAAAATTGTGCCATATTCAGCTCAATTAATGCAAGTTTTTCCTGGATTATAACTTATTTACAAGACTATCGACGCTGAAATCGTACTCAAGAGATAGGCTCTTAAACACTTTATCTTCGTTGAAAATTTCTTTCCCATCCCTTCTTCTGAGGCATTTATTTTAATTATTTTACATCATTTAACGTGCAAGTGTGTTCCATTTCTCCCGTCACCTTCTACAGGGAGTTTTTTTTTCCCACATACTTGCCCCCGAAACCAGTTGGGAGGCGACCTTGAACTGTATCTGTATGCCCACGACCGTGCTCTATTGTTACAGTTCTAATAAGAACAGCGCCCTTTCATGCACACGGCTTTCTCAGTTTCATCGGCGGAGCATTTTTGCCCAATTTCAACAATTGTGTTTTAAATCTTTAACCAAAGTTCTAAAAGGATAAAAGCACTGAATGAAACGGGGTTAAATACTGCATCTTCACAGATCATCACATTATCAGTTTGATACCATGCGCTTATCTTTCAGTTAATAAATTATTGAATTACTATTTTTATTCACTTGTAAGCAGAACTCTGCACAGTTTACCAGTTTTCACGGTTTATTTATTAACTCCTGCAGTTTAGTACTGTAAGAAAAAATATACTTTTTCCTAAAATTCATTTTAATATTATTTTATTTTCATTACAATTATTCTTATTATTATTATCTGGTATTTAGAATCGTATGTACATGTGTTAATGTAACTAGTGTGTCTTTTCATACTTATTTATACTCCCCTATCCTATCACATTGTGTTTTATGTGTTTTGCCTAACTCTGAAAAGTTTTTACATACTGTTGTATCTGTTTTCTAAGTATAATACTGATTACTTAACATTCACTTGCAGAAATACCTGTCTGAATAAGGTTTAGAACTCCTCTTAACGACTTAATATAATGTACGTCTGACAACTCACAGTTATCTAATTAATTAACCTTTGGTTAAGACTTGACATAATATAGTATTACCAACAGATAATTCTGTATTTTTATTTAATTTGAGTTTCTTTCTTTATATATATATTCTTTTTCCTAAGAAACATTGGAACTGCATAACACCTGAATTTATAATTATTTTTGTCAGACTTTATGTGAGTAATAGCATTTATTCTAATAAGCAATTATTCACTACTATTTACTTATTTATGTTAACTTCATGTACTAGTAATTTTCTGCTCTGCTTATGAATAATTTCTGATTTTTTTGTCATTTTTGTTTTATGTGAGCTATGAAATTGTAAACTATTATCGATGGCTTCTAAAGATAGGTCTTCCTCACCATCATTATTAAACATCTCCCATTCTTTAACTAGCAATTCTGAAAATGCTGACTCCTCCAGATTGAATGATATTCTACGAATTACTGATAAAATTCTAAATTACATCGGATAAAATAGATACTTCTAACATCGGAAAAAATATAAGATACTTCCATTTAACAGCTCTTCGTCAAATAGTGGCAGACCAAGAACTTACTCTAGCGAAGCACGAAGGTACAATTTCGGAACTGAGAGAGCAACTGTCTCTTCAGCGTTCAAATACTACAGTTATCTCTGAAGTGAAGGAACATTTGCAGCAACAACAACACGAAGTTAAAAAATTATTCGAAACAAAGTTTCTAGAACAAACCCCAAATTCCTACGCCGTTGCTGCCGCCAAAAACATTTCTTTGAAACAGACTCCAAAAAGTCAATTCAGAGATCATATCATATTCTACTCCTGAAACCTAAAGATTCAGAGAGAACACCTGAAGATATCAGACACCAACTAAGTTCGACACTTAATCCACAAAAACTGGGTATTCATATCAATAATATTCGTACTACTAAGTCTAATGAGCTTTTAATCGGTGTCGAAAAGAAAGCAGACTTAGAACACTTACAACTTACACCGCTCAATCGTTGAAAATTCACAACTACAAGCCTCTGTAACTGTTCGTACTTCAAAACCCAAAAGTACCAAACTCATAGTGTTTAATGTACCATCTTCAGTGGCTGCTGAAGACATCAAATCGGCTTTTCTGAAAATTACATCAAATAATAATCTTGATATTTCATGTTCTCCAGTTCACCGATCTGAAAATACAAATAATTGGATTGTAGAAATTTCTTCAGATTCTAGTGACTGTTTTATTACTTCGTCAAGAGTCTTCATTGGATTCAACTCGTGTTCCTTCCGTCCCTACATTTCACTTCCCCGTCCCCGTTGCGTTCATTGCCAGGGTCTTGGACATAATAGTCGAAGCTGTCAAAATCCTCCCTGCTGTTCCATCTTCTGCGCAAAACAACATTCCCATAGAGAGTGTACCTCAAACGTAAAACTCTGTGTAAATTGTGTGCGAAGTAACCAAGAAACTGGTTCTTCGTTACCAACTGATCACGGTGCTCATGAAAGAACATGCCAGACGTACAGGAGTCAGCTCAACAAATTATTGTACCCGGACAAAGCCACAACCTCACATGTTGCCATCATCCATAACTAATAATTCTTCAGTTGATATTAACATGCAAGAGCGCAATTTAAAGAATAACGCTTCAACTCAAGATTATAACGTGGACAGTGATGTACAAAATAATCTACCCCCAACCTTGCTAAAAAACTCGATTCCATTTTCTTCAATTCGTTTTTCTCCAAATCAACTTACAAAGAGCAAAAACGGCTTCTGATCATCTAGCAGAATTCTTAACTCATAACCATAAAGACTTTGTTTTAATCCAAGAACCCTATTGTATCGAAGGGAAAGTAAGTAGCATTCCAACGTCTTGGAATGTCTTTCAATATTCTCCTCAGTCGCCCAATCAACATCCCAGAGCAGCTATCATCAGTTTTAATCATAGCTGGCACCCAATTCTAATTACAGCCAAAAGAGACCTAGTTACAATCAGTCTTAATAGTTCCAACTCTCAACTTCTTATTTCAAGTATTTATGCATCTCCCTCCGAGGATATTTCCCCTTTGCTTCACGATTTAGAATCCATCTTGTTTTCCTTCCGAAGTCCACACATAATTTGTGGAGACTTCAATTCACACAACCAGCTTTGGGGCTACAATTCCACAAGTCCAAGAGGAAGGTCCCTTGAGGAATTCTTCAATTCACATAATCTTGTCATTCATAACCAAGCCTCGGATTTACCTTCTTTCGAAACAATGTATGGGAGAGGGTGGCCAGATCTCGTAGTTACTTCCCATCACCTAATTAATTCGATTTCAAATCGCAAAATTGAAGAAGACAACTCCCACTCAGATCATAAATATATTACTTTTGAAATCAAAGAGAACTCAGAATCAGTTTTAATGAAACGTTTTAAAATTACTAAAAAGAAAGAAAAGAACTTTATTAAGCAAATTCAACAATCCGCATTTCCAATGACTTCTTCCTTCCAACTAAGTGCAACAAAAGAAGATCTAAATAAAGCTACAGAAGATTTTATAAAAAAATCCAAGAAATATGTGAAAATACCTTTCCAATACGATCTGCAAAACCTTACTTTCTTTCATATAAATTGGTGGACTAAAGAGTTACGCGCTCAAAAGCATAAGGCGAGAGCATTGAAACGGAAAATGAAATCGATTACTGACTGATGATGAATTAAGACACCAAGCCTGGCTCAAATTCAAAAAAGAAAATGCAAACTACAAAAAGATGATTCTCGAATCTAAATTAAAAAGCTGGCACAAATATTGTTCAAACAATAAAGAAATTTATGGCACCTTATACAAGATCGCCAGTAGTAAAATATTTAAACCGTCACAAATCCAACTTCCCTCAAATTTGCTTTCAAGTTCTGCTGAAATTCAGGATGCCACTCTCTCAACCCTAAATGAGATTCTTGACTCTGTCTTTCTAAAAGATGATCCAGCTGAAGATTCGCCTACTCAAACCAGAATCCGTAACTGCGATGACATTCCACAAACAGACAACGATATTCCGTTCTCAAAACAAGAAATAAAGCAAATAATTAAAAACCTAACTTTAAAAAAGGCACCAGGCCCAGATGGCATCGATAACCACATTATAAAATTAATCAATCAAGCCCATCCTGACATAATCTGTAGTTTTTGCAATCGATGTATAGAACTCTCTACCTTTCCTGATTGCCTGAAAATTGGTAATATAATACTCTTCAATAAGAAGAATAAAAGCTCCGATGAACCTAAATCTTATCGTCCGATAAATCTTCTCTCCAGCCCTGGGAAAAGTTTTGGAAAGATGTCTTATTGGTCGTCTAAAATTTCATGTTTACAGCAAAAACTTAATAAGCAATAACCAGTTTGGATTTCGAAGCCTACTTTCAACAAGTCATGCAATTAATTCAGCTCTTGAACAAGTCAGAAACAATAAAACCAACCAACTTCATTCTGCAATAATATGTCTCGACTTAAAATCAGCTTTTGATTCTTTATGGTGGCCAGCAGTTTTACAAGCGCTGCATTCCTTTAAGTGCCCTCAAAATTTATTTCTAATTATTCAAGATTACTTCAGAAACAGGAAAAGTATGATTCTTTACAACAACACTGAAATTGTGCGTAATCAGTACGAGGATGTCCTGCGTTCCTTTAAGTGCCCTCAAAATTTATTTCTAATTATTCAAGATTACTTCAGAAACAGGAAAAGTATGATTCTTTACAACAACACTGAAATTGTGCGTAATCAAGTACGAGGATGTCCTCAGGGGTCTTGCATGAGTGCAGATCTCTGGAATATCAGCTTCAACAACATCATTGCCTATCCATGGCCAGATCACTCTAAAATTGTAGCTTTTGCAGATGATGTAGCTTTTATTACAAGTGGCCGTACCAGAGACATTTTACAGAATAATTGCAACGAAACACTCCAGTTATTTAACCAACTTTGCAAAATTCAAAAACTACAAATTTCACATAGTAAGTCCCAAGTCTTAGTGATCCATAAACCAGGACAAAATATAACTAAAGCTTTAGCTCTAAAAATTGACAATCAAAAGATCAAATCTGTGAACACAATCAAGTACCTCGGTTTAACAATCGACAAGAAATTCTCCTGGATTCCTCATCTACAAAATATTAAACTTCGTACAACATCAATAGCTAACTGCCTACGACGTATGCATGGATATAATATAACTGGGGCTTAAATCCCCATATAACACGTATTCTTCTAAAAACAGTCATCTCAAAAATGGTAAATTACGGAGCCGGAATTTGGGCACAACCAATGACAGTAAGAAAAAGATTGAAATGTTTAAATTCAATTCAAAGGCCTTTTACTCTTTGCATTACTCGGGCGTATCGCACAACTTCAAATATAGCACTTGATACTCTAGCTGGTACTCTTCCATTATCAATCAGTGCAGAAATGGAAAGCACCTATATGAAAGTCTTCCAACTTAACCAAGCCGCAGAATTCAACAACCAAACCTTTTGGCCATCCAACTATGAAAAGAAAATTAACCCCAATCTTATCCATCCAGCGCTTCGCTTCAGCAAAATAATATTCACCACGTCTGAAGAAAATTCAAGTTCATCTCCAATTGCTTATACTGATGGATCAAAAATTGAAGGAAAAGTTGGTTCCGCAGTCTTTTTTCAAATTACCCCCTCAAATATCATCAAATGGAAAGGCCATCTCCATAATAATAATAGTGTTTTCCAAGCGGAATTGTCAGCTATAAAAGCAGCGATTGAAATAGCCATTCTCAAAAATCTCAACGAATTTAGCATAAAATCTGACTCCCAAGCAGCTATTCTAGCTATTAAAAATCCCTTACCTTCCTCTCCATTGATATCCGACATAAATTCTCTTCTTGGAAAAATCCCAAACTACAAAATTCAAATTTCATGGATCAAAGGACATAGTGGCCATTTTGGTAATGATCAGGCAGATGAACTAGCCAAAGAAGCAGCTATTAATCAAGATGGTACTGAAATCATCATTCCGTGGCCTCGCTCGAATTTCAAGTACCAACTAAAACAACTTGCTTCAAAATCTTGGCAAGATTTGTGGAACAATGCTCCGCTCCACAGGGAAGACGCACATATAACTTGATGCCCAATGTAAGCTTAGCATCTCTGAACTCGAATCCTTCCCTAAATTACTTTATAACAGGACATGGACCCTTCCCCACATATTTCTACGCAAGAAATTTGGCAAATTCTGACATCTGCATATGTGGGGAACAGGGAACTCCTGATCACTACATTTTCTCATGCCCCTTAACTGAAGATATTCACATAAAATTCCCAAGAACTGACCTCCTGGCATTCCAAAGATTTTTAATTAAAGATAAACATCAATATCCAAAGTTTCAGAAAATTATGCAACGACTCTCTTCCTACGGCCTAGATCTCTGTCAAGTGTAAATCCACATACAGTTTAAACTTAGTGAACTTTTACATGCTGTAATTATGGACAAAATGGATCCGCTCATGAACTGAACTTTATAAACTGCAATAAACCAATATATCTGAAATAACCCATGGACACCTACCTCTTTAGCATTATTATAACAATTCATTTAACATTGTGTTGCCAGTACTAATTATAATTATCTCATTATGTTTATTTGTTTATTAATTATGTTTTATCTCCTATTTTTGTTGCACCAAATCAGATGTTCAATTTATCTTGTGAATCTCAAATTGTATTCCTACTATTTTGTAATCTACTTATGCCCTACACCATTATTTTTTAATAAATACTGGATGCGGGGCGTACTGTGGAATTGCACGATGTACCATAATAGGCAAACTTTAGACCTTTTGAAAAGCTTCAGTCTATGCAAATTCTTATAAAACTTGCAATTACCCCCCTTTTTTTTCTCTCAAAGAGTTAGTATGGGAAGGCATTACCAGTTGACCTATGGTACATCGCTGGTGTCCCCCATACTTTTACCTTTACCTTTACCTAACCATCATAGCTGGTATAAAGAAGAGATTGAAAGGGAGAAGTTGAAAACTACTAGCCCGATGACAAATAATAAAACTGTTTGTGATAATAATTGATATTACAGGCATTTTTCTAATTATGAGAGAATAGTATGTATGGTCGCCTGGATTCTTCGTTTTAAGCATAATTGTACAAATATCGAAAGCAGGAGATACAGAGAATTGAGTACAACATAATTTCGTGAAGCAGAGTTAAAGATATTACATATGATTCAAAAGGAATCCCTTGATTTGGAACATGATAGACTCAAAACACTTCAGGTATTTAAAGATGATCGTGGCATTTATCGTGTAAAAACTAAGATTATTTACAGGAAGGATAGTGAAGATTTCCTGAAACCGGTCGTCCTTTCTTCAAAACACAAAGTTGTGAAACGACTTATTTTTTCTGTTCATGTGAAGAATTGTCACGCAGGTAGTCAGATACTTTTGAATCTGCTTAGAGAAAAATATTGGATTCTTAACGGAAGAAAGACTGTGAAAAACATTGTGGCTAATTGCACAATCTGTAAAAGATATAGTTCAAGGAACATGGAAACGATATGTGCACCCCTTCCTGAAAATCGTGTTAAAGATGCTACGGTATTTCAAATTACAGGGGTTGACATGGCTGGCCCTCTGTTTCTAAAAGAAAGTAGAAAGAGTTGGGTGTTAATATTCACTTGTGCAGTGTACAGAGCAGTACATTTTGAGTTAATTACTGCAGCTTCTACAGACACCTTTTTAATGGCATTTAGAAGATTTATAGCTTGCAGAGGAAGATGTACTGTTGTATATTGTGACAATGGATCTAATTTTGTTGGAGCAGCCAATTCATTAAAAGATTGGAACCGTATACAGAAACATGGAGTCGTCAATTTGATTAATTGGAAGTTTAATCCACCGACTGCCGCATGGTGGGGCGGTTGGTGGGAGCGACTAATAAGGATATTGAAAGATCTCTTAAAAAGAGTGTTAGGTAAGGCACATCTCAATTATGAAGAAATGGCAACTGCTCTAGCAGACTGTGAGAGTGTAATCAACTTAAGACCTCTGACTCATCTCTGAAGCAGATGTGATAAAGAACATTTCTCCATCGATGTTTTTGCAAGACGTTCATGAATGCAGTGTTCCAGATATTGATGCTGTGGAACAAAATTCTTTGTCCAAGAGACTCAAATACAGACAAATCATACTTAAAGAATTGAGGAATCGATTTCGGTCGGAATACTTAGGTGCTCTCATTCAACGAGGGAATAATGAAAAACTAAGATACCCAGTGGCCGTGGGTGATATTGTTCTAGTGGGAGCTCATAACAAAAAGAGAATTAACTGGCCTTTAGGTCGTATTAGTGAGCTTCTTTTGGGTAAAGACGGTAATGTGCGGCTTGTGAAAGTGCAGACTTTACACCAAGAACTTCTTCGTCCTATTCAGAGAATATATCCTCTTGAGATAGCATCTCCTACTGACTGTCCTAAGCCTTTGGAATCCAATAGTTTGACCAAGTTCTCAAAGCTGCCTGTTAAACAGGATAATGGTGTGTTTGACAACAAGCCAAGGAAGACTGGTAGAAAAATTAAGATTCCAGAAAAACTGGACTTATAATTTAAATAAGTGCTTTAGTGAAATACATTTTTATTGGTTGTTATTATTATTTCTTATACTTGAGTGTATTTCTGTGCTTTATTTATTTAGTATATTTAATGATAATTTTATGTTTTGATTATTGTTTATAATCAAAAGGTGGAAGGATGTTAACAATGCCTTACTTATTTTGTCTGTATAATTTAGCTACTTGTGTATGGCAACAGTAGGAGATATTCAAGTTTGAGAACGATGTAACGATACGAGGAGCGTCATTGTTTCTTTCGTGATAATAAAGTTTGTTTTCGTTGAAACTGATTCTATTATGTAAATAATCACTGCAGTTATAGTGTTTTAATGATAGAGACTATCTTTAAATCTATGATGTGAGTCTTTAATTAAAGGCTACTTTGCTGAAGTGTGATTTACGATTATAAGTACTGAAAGCAGAAAAAGTCGGTGATACTTTTTTCTAGTAAGCTTTAACAAACCCCGCTCTTCGGCGCCAAAGCGAGTTCGTGTGCTAAATTCAGCCAAGAAGGTGTTAGCATCAGTTTTTTGGAATGCAAAAGGAATTTTGTTTATAGATTACCTTCAAACTGGCAAAACAATTAATTTGGATTATTATTGTAACCTTTTGAATCAATTAGACAAAAAAATTCGTGAAAGAAGATCCGGATTACAGATGAAGAAAATCATTTTCCACCAAGATAACGCACCTGCGCACACAGTTTAAAAAACCATTGCTAAAATAACTGAATTAAAGTACGAATTGTTGCAACATCCAGCCTATTCGCCAGATTTAGCTCCCTCTGACTTCTGGCTCTTCCCACACCTCAAACAATATCTCCATAGAAAACGATTTTTTTTCAAACGAAGAAGTAATAGCTGCCGTGGAGGGATATTTTGCAGAGCTGCCGAAAAACCACTACAGTCAAGGGATCCATAAATTAGAAGACCGTTGGAATAAGTGTATTGAAGTTGAGGGAAACTACGTTGAAAAATAAAGTCATTTTTACAAATAAAAATTGGTTTCTTCATTTCCGTTCCGCGAACTTATTGAACAACCTGGCAAATGTCGTAATTATTTTAACTTGAACAAAGAAGATATGCATTTAATATTAATGTCACCCTTCCACATACACCATACCTTATAAATTATCAAATTATACAGAAAGCTAACTGTTGGCTATTGATGAGCCATACCTTTTGATGTCAATACTTAGCTGCAGAACATTGGCAACGGTGTCTCCCTTTAAGACAGCGATATGTGAAACCATAACTACTAACAAACCTGCACTTTCTGTAAATAAATTTATGTTCTTTTTTCACTCTTATGAAGAGTATTTTTTCTTGCCACATTATATAGCGTGGCTCAGTCAAGTCTGTTTTAATGAATACAAAATAATCCTAGAGTTTCCATAAAACTAACAACTGAAATACAGATGGTTTGACAAATGTTCATATTTAAATTGAGAATGTTTAGCAAGAATGAGGGAATGAATACACATTAGCTTTTAACTCCTTTCAAGAATTAAGGCTTTCAATTCTAGAAAACAATACATTAATGTTTCATTCCTCCCGATAACTATATTTTTGAATGGTAGATAAAGTAGAACACAGTATGAAAATAGCACATTGAAATGTGAAAAATTTAGAGTTCATATAATACCAAAGTGTTCTAACTTAATTCCACAATCCTCAACATCATCATTTCTATCCTCTAAAATTTTATTTGCATCAAGCAAATCCATTTCATGCTCTGCAGATACTGGTGTCTTAGATGCACAGTAGGCTTTTTCTAAATGGGCTGTGTTATAAGTATCACATAAAGAAGGCTCTTTAGTAAAATATTCAGATGAAGGAATATCAGATGATATTTTAGAATCCAAAGCTGAAGATATCTGCTGTTTTTTGCCACAAGAGTCTGACAGAGAAAATGAGTCATGGTATACATCCTTTGGTGAAAGTGGCTCGATGTAATTACAAATTGAATGACCTAAAACCTTAGAAACACCAGATTTATCAGTTAATGTTGCATCATCCTGTTCACTTTCTCTAGCTATAGGTAACCAATTACTAGCTCCTTTTGGTTCTTTTGCAGATGGTATCCAGTACTGATGTGTAGAGGAGCCAGAAGGTTTTATTATAGGAACTTTACTCTGATTGTCATCACCACTTTCTTTATCTGAAGATGAGGAACATTCTGTATTGCAATCAGATGCAGTAGATGCTGCAGAGCAGCTATCTTGAGATGAGTCTAATATCCCTGCCTTGTGAAATGCAACAAGAGCTAATATGTTTTCCCCTTTCTGTTTAGCTACATGGCCAAGATCTAGAAATAAATCCTGAGATTCTAAATTCAATGCCAGTGAAAATGCTGTTCTAAATTGATGGTAACGTAACAAATGATGAAAAAAGCGCCTTGCTATGTGATGGATTTTGTACTCATACATTTTAATAATTCTTTCTGGTAATATATCGACACAGTTATAAAATGTTCCTAAAGCTAATTCTAAACCTGACCGTGTTTGAGGATCTAGAGGTTTTCTGAGTAAAAAGTTAGCTATTTTAGATAGACAATGAAATAAAAGTTCACCTTCATGACACCAGCTCAAACTTCTCATCATTAAAATTGCTCTATCAATACAATTGCATTTTAAATACTGACTAACCAGTTCCAATGCAGAAATATGATTTCTTGTAATGCTACCAAAGGAAAATTTTAAAAATACAAATGATGATAATTCAGAATCTAGCATAACCAAACATGAATTGTTTAAAATAGACTTCTGCCACAATACCTTTTGAGGAGTAAAATGATGCAGGAAAAAGGAATTCAAGTCTATAATATTGTGCACCGTTTTGCTATAATACATTTCAAAGCTAATACTGTTTAAAACTGCATCAAAACACTGAATCTCATTAGCTGTGCCAACTATTATTGCTAAACAGTTTTCAGGATGCCAGCTTATCTCCTTAGGAAGAAATGACAAATAAGTTACAATAGTAGATTTTTCTCTTAAATCATATATTAAAAGTAATCTATTAGAGTCAGATACAATTAATTTATCTACGGTTGAACTCCAATCAAATGAAATGAGACTGCCATGCATGGGAAGTTTAGCTACAAATATATGATGACACTGATTTTGAACAACTTCATAAATGCAAACGTTGATGTTCCTTTCTGTTTTACACTTTACTTCTTCCAAAGTCAGAATTTGGTTAAAATTCTGCTTGCTGTAAATAGCATGGATAAGTTCACCATTTACTTTTACAGTACATAATATTTCTATGCCATCATTTAAAGAATATATAAGCATATTGACACGTTCCGTTGAATAAGCAACAGGCGTCCATGACCAAACATCATCATCAGAGAATCTCCACCAAACTAGCAAATGATCATTATGCAAATTTAAAGAGAGTTTTCGTTCCAAGCTCTTACTACAAGGTCCTATCAAATCTACAGTTATTATTTTTGGTTCAGGGCCTACTAACTTTCCTCGTTTCTTACCAAATATTTTAGTAGAAAATGATGGTGAACTTTGGTTCATGTAGATGACTGCTAGCTTTGGTTCTGAATATGTAATAAATATGCAGCTCTGACAGATTACAACATCAACTACTTTACTTGGAAATAATTTTCCATTTAAGTTATCATCAATCTCAATTTTCTCCACAGTGTTATTTCCAATATTTAATTGAACACTAACAATTGTTCCATTGCTAAAAAACATAATCAAAGGTTGATTTATATCCCATGATAGATACAGACATTTGTAAGACATGAACAATTTATTAATGTATTTTACATCCTTTTTTCTGTACTGCTGCTTACATTTACTACATTTATTTAAAAAGTATTCCCTTTTAGCATTCCTGTAAGGACCCTGAGAACACAAATCTTTTTCACATAATTTGATACAGTCAACCTCACGGTTATGTACAACCTCCACTTGTTTAAAATTTAATACATATAATGACGTTAAAAAAGATGCCATGTTTTAGCACAGATGACAACTGAACTTAATCAGGGATATCATTATGAAGGGTAACTAAATGTTGCACAGTTTTCTCCACCTTTTCATATTTCAGCACAAAATTTGCCTGAAAAGTAAAAAAAAAAAAACTTAATTATAGAAAGAATTTAATTAAAAAAATAATAAGATGATGATAATCTTTAAAAAAATAAGATGTGATCATACAGCACATGGATACAACTCTTTACTAATATAAAGCAAAGCATAAACTACAAGTATAAAAGGATAACAGAAAGTTTGCTTGGATATACTGAATTCATTATTAATGCTGTAAAATTACTGCCACTACTCTGTCATACCAATCTTTGAAACTTTTTATCTCTGTTTAATACTTTATTGAAATGTTTAGTTAGAAGTCAAGTCTAATTTCAAATAATATTATTTTTAACATTTAGACAATATTTTTCATAGTAAGCTTACATAATTTTCCGTGGAGTTATTGCAAATCAAACAATCAAGAAATTTCTGTAATGGAAGGAAGAATTAAACTTGTCACGTTAAATGATTTCTTTTTCATTTATGTCTTGTTATAAAAAACCTAAAGATAAATAAAGGAAGAAAGCAACTGAAATTTAAACAATATATTCAAATACTGAATCACAGAACTGTCTAAAGTTTGATTTCTTCCCTCAGGTGAGTCATAATACAAATATAATATTTTAACATGAAACATTACATATTAAATTATCAAAACATTACTGACATTTCATTAATAGCATCTTTGTTCTCCAGAATAAAAAAATCCCCTGCACTGAATTTCCCACAAGCTGGACAGCAGCAGGAGAAACTGTAAGATACTCCAAAACTAGGTGAATTTGCTAATGTCCATAAACATTCTACTTTCTCTTTCTAAATTTTTTTGCTTCCTGAGCCTATTAAGTAAGGATATCAAATATTTAACAACAGAAATCTACTATATTTTAAACGAGACTATTTTCACTAGTTGAAGGAATGAAACGTGTGCGCCCAATCGCAAATCGGTAGCCTTCGGCATTATATTCTCTTTCTCACCAAGGCAACTATAAAACAAAAGTTCAAATTAATGTAAATCAAAAGGTATGACAACACCTTCTGATTTATCAAAAGCAGTGACTAAAACATATGGTAAATTTCACTTAGTCAAATGAAAATTCAATTCAAAGCATTAACTCTTTACAATGAAATGAAAGTATTCATGACACAAAAAACAAAGGTGAGGTAGCTAGTGAAAACTTTCTTATAAGCAGTGAGTGAGTTCTCGGTTTTAAGCAAAATAACTTTTATTCACAACACTCATATTATTGGTGAATGTGCCAATGCAGATAAAGAAGCTGCTTCAAGATATTTGAAAGAACATAGTGAAATGATAATAAAAGATGACTACAAAGATAAGCAAACATTCAACATTAATTAGATAAGTTTATTTTGGAAAGAATTGCCATCATGTACCTTTATAGCAGTTAATGAAAGTCATGTCCTGGATATATATTAAAGACCAACTCACACCATTATTAGGTAGAAATGCAACAAGGGATTTCAAAGTAAACTGATTCTTCTGTATCATGCACAAAATCCAATAGATGTAAAAAAATTATCAAAAATTTCCCAGTGATATGGCATTCAAATTAAAAAGCACAGATCACAAAAACATTACTTGAAGCTTAGTTCACTAGATATTTCTCTTCTAGAACATAATATCAGTACGAAGGAAACAGATCAGATTTTATTAATCTTGGATAATATTCTAAGTGATTTAACTGGGCTTTGTGATTTAAAAGAAATAATGCAAATAACTTCCTTTTGTCAAATACGATGTTACTGATTCATGTAATGGATGAAGGTGATGCAGAAGCATTTAAAGCGTATTATTTGTATCCCACTTTTTCAGAAGTCACAAAAATTACTAAAAATTTTAGAAAATTGCATCTACTTTAATGGAATTCTGGAAGAGCTACAATTTTAGAAACACTATCAAAAATATAAGTGAGGCATGGCATGAATTAAGGGCATGAAGGCAGTATTATATAGTAATTATGAAGGCAGTATGGCAATAATCTGAAAAAATTGCACCTACTTTAATGGAATTCTGGAAGAGCTACATCTTTAGAAACATTATCAAAAATATAGGTGAAACATAGCATGAATTAAGAACATGAAGGTAGTATTATGTAGTAATGAAGACAATACTATATAGTAATTATGAAGGCAGTATGGCAATATATCATACAACATTGTGCAAATTATTTCACTGGTTTTTGAAACTCAGTTTGCAGAAGACATTAATACAGGGTTCGTAGCCACATTTTAGTTAAGAAAATAAGCACCTATAAGCACTTTCCAAGCACATTTTAAGGAAAAAAATAAGTACCTGTCTAATTACATTATACACAACTGCATAACCGTAAAAGAAAAATTAGATTTGTAATTTAAAATATGAGAAATTCAGTATTTATTAAGAGAGAATGAGCATTATTCAACCATGAGAAACAATAACATTCTTTTTTTTAAATTTTAAATAACAGTTCAATTTACAGAACTAGTTTACAATGAGAGGAAAAAAAAAAAAAAAACTATGCAGAACTAAATTATGTTACAAGATTTAATGATGAAATTTCAGTTCAAAATAGAGAAAATAAATAATAATAAGCCATATTTATTATACTTGCTTGGCACCTAAAAATAAATACAATTTATTTTCCCACTCATATTAATTAATATTTAAATAATTTAACTTAAATCAAAATTCTGAATATTTTCTAAATTTTCATTGTATAACAGTTTTCCCTTAACACATATTGCAAGCAAAGTAATTTAAGTAAAAATAAGTAAAAAAAGAAACTTTTCTGAAATCAGAAGATGGGAAATTCCTTCATGCAGTCATCCTTTAACAGTAAAAGCTTAACTAACTGGCATACTTGGAAATTGCCAAATATCTGAAAATTCTGGATAGTCGAGTGTAACTGGTAAAAGAGGAAAATGAGATAGATTGTAGCTGTTCTTTAGATTTTTCAGCTAAATAATACTTTTGACATTTCGATATGTACATCATATAAAAAATAGCCCAATGGAACTGAAAAATAATCTGCTTAGCAAGCACAGTAAAATTTTTTTATCTCTGCGAAATATTGCAAGAGATATTGCGCAATATGCACGCCTCAATTCTTCCGCACGTGATATCTTCCGCAATCGAAATCAAGAGCTGCCATGTGCCCATGTGGCATATTTATCATTGAGAAGAACACGTTGCACTCCATGCAATATCCCTGCCATACTCATATTGATTAATAGATAGATTTACCAATATAGGGTGTTTTTCATTCTAATTTTGAACAGACTGCATTAAATTTCCGGAATAAAATCATTCTTCGCTTGGGTTGGTAGATCGCAGAACTTTTAGTCCTATTCAATCCAGGTTGGAAAGTGACCAAAAAAATAAAATTTCCGTTGCTTGCTTTGCTGCGAACTGTAACAATTTCAATATACGAGATTTTGCGGAGAAAGGAGAGGACCTCCCCAAAACTTCCGTGCTGTATAATGCATTGGCCAAAAAAAAAAAAAAAATTTTTTTTTTTTACTATTCGATTACTTTCATTTCATTTATGCCATTCCGAATATTATTCCTTAGAAAAACTAATCTGTGTTAAAACACACTTATACATTTTTGAAGTTTATCCATACTTCAGTAGTTACTGCAAATATATTATTATCAATATTCATATGTATGCTCATAATATAAGCATACTGATCCTAATAAACGCGAATATGAACTGACCATGCTGAACGAGAATGCAAATTATTAAAATCTTGATAGAAATTTAAATACGTGTAGTATTGGGTGGAGCAAAAGAAACGGAATGTACTGGAATTTTCTACCGCTTTCGCGATTCTTTGACCAACAGAACGACGTGTACCTGTCTGTACTTGCACACACCAAAGGTTATATGTTAATGCAGAGAAAGGGGCAAAAGGCTATTTCTGGGAGTGTGATTCACCATCTGATGTTCCATATAAGGAAGAAAAGTTGTTTATTTAGTTTCAGCTTTGGTACGGGGAAAAAATGTGTGTTCATTTAAAAAAAAAGTACTAAAAGCAAAAAATAAGCACTGAAAACAAAAAAATATGTGCTTTGGAGGAAAAGTAAGCACCTATAAGGGCTTTTATATTTTATTTTCAAATATAAGGTCTTATAAGCACTTATAAGGACAGCTATGTACCCTGTTAATAACATAGTGGAAAATGGACAGCAACATGATTTTAAAGTGTTAGATTCCTTTAATAAAACTGAGCACATCAAACACTAACAAACTACCTAATGAATCACCTATTAACATAGATAATTTGATACCAGTACTGAACATTGCCTTTCTGTTTGCCGATTGATAAAGAATGCATTTTAATACCACTACAAAGAAATAAATGAAGAGAAAAATGCATATAAACATTTTTAAACATCAACACAGCTATTTTTAGATAATATAAAATGAATTAAGAAAAATATGCATTTTTAAAAATTATTTCTAATAAAGGCATTAAAATTTATTTATTGAAAAACTGGGAGAATTTTTTATCCTTTCATACTGACGCAACCACCTTGGTGAAGTCTGGCAATTTTTTACGGTTTTTGCACTTTTTTTTAGAAGGATTCCCAAATTACTGATATTTATCACAAGTGAATAAACATTTGCCACACATAAAAAGAATACATACTTCAACAACTTAAAATAAAAATTTTAATTATTAACCCGTAACTGGGGAGGTGCTGTCTCAGATACCCCTACAGGTGTTGTTTCTATCACCCCTACTCTATATTTAGTCTGATTGAGTGGATTCTCCTGCTAGCTTCTCCTTTTGTGACCTTGATAATTCTCACCCATTAGCTAACATTTTTTGCACCTGCTTTCATTGTGAAATTCTAGTCCTTTGTCTGAGAGCAGTATGTCAGACTGCACCTCCCTCTCAGTGTTACGATTTCTGTTCCAGGTGGAAATATGACTCTGAGAGTCGGTCTGAGAAATATCATATATCCTTCTGATTTGTGTTATGCAGAAGAGCTGCAAAGAATTCTTGATGAAGTAGGAAGTGAATTTAGTGACG